TGCATTCTTTGCCATAAAACGCAGGCTTAGAAGTAAGGCAGAGAATGAATACACAGAACTGCATTTTTTAAAAACTAAACTTGAGTAAGAAATGTAGACCACGGAGAGAAGCTTAAACAATACTAACTGCTAACATATGTGAAATTTCTGTGAGAGGACATTGTTTCCATTATAGTATTATTTTCTGACACAATTTTTTTCTTCTGTAGGAGCTGATTGAAGCTTGATTTTAGATATGAAATATTTTTTCCTCCCTTAACAGTCACTGGGTGTAGAGTACAGTAAGTCTGCTATGAATATTGTTAAAACATGTAAGAAGGGAGAGATTCAGACAGAATACACAGTTACAAGATTTTTTAAAGTACAATTTCATTGTGCTTTTACACATCTGGATAATTAACCAAGCATTACATTCTCTCTAGACTATTTTTACAAGTACAGTATGCTCTTAATGTGATTTCCATTAGGCTGTTCCAAATATCATTTAAGAACTCAGAAAGATTGCAGACCGCGATTCAAAACCACTCTTCCACTGTGATGTTGAGACCTTGCTCTCTCCTGGGGGAAATAAAAGACTGAGAGCTGAATTCTGAGATCCTTCTGATGTAACAAGGAAAACTGGGGGTAGCTGCTTCTTTAAGTTCCAGCGAATGCAAGCAGATACAAACGCACCCCCAGTACCTCTGGTCCTTGTCAGAGGTGAGCTCAAAATATGAGCCTTACAAGAACTGAGCTGAAAACTGCATCTTGAAGCTTCTTTAAATATTAGAAAGGAACAATAAGAGCAGCCTAAAATCCCGATGTGTTGACAACCCACCTAGTTTGAATTATTGGGGTAGATAAATATGTTTATATGGCTAAGTTCCTCATTTGAAGGTCACAGCCAAGTTCTAAAATAATATGTGCTCAGATACTCTCTGGCCATGCTTTTGTTCCGTCCTTTCATAATTGCTCGGATGCTGTTCTGGGCTTTTATGAGGCCAGGGTCTGATTCAGTGGTAGAAGGTCAGTGTTAATTCACAGACGTCAGGAGCTTCGCGAACCACCTGCCGCCCACATTGGTGAGCACCAGCAAGAGATCAGAGAAACCACAAGGCATTCAGCTGTGATGGTCATTGCCTTTGTCCTTCCTCGTTACGGGCAGAACTCAGAACAGAAGCAGCAAGAGTTCATGAAATCACAGGATCATAATGACGAGTCCTCAGGGGCTATTTAGTCCATTTCTGATCCCTCAGACACCCACACCTAAATTCTTCCCCTCAAGCAAGGAATTCTGTTTAAAACATGTGGAGAAGAGGGAAAACCAGGCAAAAGAGAATATGATTTATTGTTTGACTGTCTTTTAAACTGCTCATGGTGCCCAGAGAATCATTCAAGTGAGAAATAAATAATTGAAAAAGAATAAACAAGTCTGATCTTGCAAAAAAATTATGTGTCAACAGGAGAGTGAAAATCATTGTAATTTCACTACACTGTTTCAGTGTCTGCTTTCCATTAAATAATCCTGTAATTGTCTACCGTGTGACAGCCTGAGTAGCTCAACCAATGAAATGATGAATGAAAATGGCAGGGAAGGATTTGTCACACTGACACAGGCCAGAAAGTGTGTGACAGTCATTAGAAAGCAGAAAATGAGGTGAACCTCCTCGTTGCCAGGTCAGCCAACGTGGAGGAATCTGTTTTGGATGTTGTTATTGAACTGCCCATCTCCCCATAGTGTCTTCCATAAATGGTCAGCTTAGCAAGCGTGTGCCATCAGGGAACCCAAGGTTGAGGCCCAGCTCAGAGCACCAGAGACCCATAATCTGTTCCAGCGCTGCTGACTGAAATATGATTGGATATGAGAAATGGGAGGTGGTGAGGCACCCGGGCCTTGATAGAATTCCAGCCAGGCCTGTGAATGAAACTCACAGGCCTTTGATTTCCTCATTCAAAATATGATAAGAGGATAAGATTAACTTTAATTGGCTCAGATTAAAGGAGGTAAAAAAGCCTGGTTTGTCTTTGAGGCACAGAAATTGAGTAGGTGTTTCTTGTCAATTTCCTGCCTGGACATACCCAGGTGCATGGGATGGTCACAAGGGAGAAGGTGTCACAAAAGTGTGGCTGTTTTGGTCTAAGTTTGTCATCACTACCTGTAGAGCAATTTAGAATACGTATCTTTCCATCTCAGGGAGAGTCAAGAGAGGTGTTTTATTGCCAGGTTTTGTAACAAGACAACTAGAGTGATGATATCACTGGAAGATATACTTTTAGTATTTGTACTAATTTCCAATAGAGAAAAATGTTTAGCAGTAGTATCGGATAAGTCATTCACTTACGAAATAGGGTTTATGTGCTGGACAACATACACATTATGGGCATAATTACCTACGAAATGGTAAACTTTGCTTTACCTCATTTGAGTCAAGTTTTACATAATGTATTCTCAAAAGAAATGGTGAACTTTACAAGTTTTGTGCTTTATTCATGTTTGTGTCTCCTCAAGCATTTACTATAATGCCTCTGACAGAAGAGTTGCCCAATTAACTATCACCTAGTGGAAATGATATAATACATCTTTACCGGTGAAATGATTACTTAAGAAAATTTGCTTTGGGGGATCATCCTACAGAAAGTTTATGTGATAAATGTTCACTTCTTATGCTTAAAAAGAGAATATACAGCACATTTATGCAGCAAACCAAGTTTCAGGCATGTAAACACCTCTTTATATTATCATAAGGAAGCTAAAATGTGCCCATCAGTATGAATAAATAAATTGCTTTGATTCAGGACTTTGCCTAAATAATATTATTGCACATGAGGGCTGCTTCAGGGAGGAGATTTTGTATAAATTATGGAAATTACCTTTTTAATCATAACTCAGAAGGCGTTTAGGTTTTAGAGCAGGTCAGACCAAGTTTAATTCTGACTGCGCCAATTAAGCTCTCAGCGTCCACATATTGAAATGGAAGTAATGATATCTCCAGCATATGATTATGGTCTGAAATCAATGAGAGCTCTCAGGGGTTCCCAGTCTTTGAAATGCAGACCACTAGAGAGCCTTGGAAATATTGGGAAGGGTCTGCAGACTCAGATGTACCCACATGATGCCTCCGGTCTATTTTTTAAAATATTTTATTTCTTTATTTTTAGAGAGGGGAAGGAAAGGAGAAAGAGTGGGAGAGAAACATCAATGTGTGGTTGCCTCTCATGTGTCCCCTACTGGGGACCTGTCCTGCAATCCAGGCATGTGCCCTGATTGGGAATTGAACCGGGGACCCTTTGCTTCACAGGCCCATGCTCAATCCACTGAGCTACACCAGCCAGGGCCCTCTAGTCTATTTTGAACAATAATGCACTGCTGTTTTTTAAATACATGTAGGTTAGCTCAAGATTCATTCAACAACCGTCTACTGAGCACTAACAGATAAACAACACCAGCCCCAGGGGCTGCACTAATGAACAAAGCAACTGATATCCTTGTGTTTGTGCCTCTTCCAGTCTGGGTGGGGGAATAACAATTCAAAATAAGTAAAAGTTAGTTGGGCAAGTGATGAGGATTGAGATGTAAAAGAAGAGAAGGAACCTAGAAAATGTCAAAAAAAAAAAAAAGAGGTGTGAAAAATTAGATATGGCGGACAGGGAAGGCATCTCTCAAAAGGCCTCGCTTAAGGAAGTGAGGGAGTTAGCCATAAGGATATCTGGGGGGAACATTCCAGGTGGCAGGAACAGCTCATGCAAGGGCCAGGAGGGGAGGGACAGTGGGACCACAGAGGGGCTGGAGAGGAATGAGGAAGAGGCTAGCAGGGGATAATGCTAGTGGAAGGACCATATCATGTAAGCTCTTATGTCTCAGAAAAAGCACTTAGCCTTTCTTCTGAGGGAGGTGGGAAGCCCTTAGGATTTGAGGAGTGGCATGATCTGATTTTTTTCACAGACCACTGTCTTGACAATACACTGGACAAGGGCAAGGGTGAAAGCAGGCAGCCAGTTAGGAGGCTACTGCAATAATCCAGGTGAGCGATGATCCACCTGGAGCAAAGACATGAAGTGGGGGTGCATTTTGGCCATGGGTTACAGAGTGGAGTCACAGATGGGCTGTTCTAGGGTACGAGCGAGGTAAAGAATGGTGCCCAGTTAAAGAATGGCCTGAGCAGTTAGAAGGGCAGAGTGACCGTGAATGGGAAGGGCAGCTGCAAGGAGGGCTTGGGGACGGGAGCCTCATCTTGGACACAGGAAGTTTCACATTAAATGTACAAGTGGAGATGTCAAGAAAGCCAGTTTTTCGTGGGAGAAATGTAAAGTGGTTTTTAAAATCTTACTGAACTCATGGTGCGGGGAAAATGCAGACAACTGTAATTGAACAACAATAAAATAATTTTTAAAATATTACTGAACTCATAGTAGTAGCTTTTTAAGCATGATCTCAAAGCAGCATTATTAATATGTTTATGTACACAAAATATTTTGAAACAAACAAAAAAAAAACCTTGTACTAAAAAGATTGGAAACAGAGGTAAGTTCCAGTGACAATTATTAGCCAATGAATGGTATTTTCCTTTCCTTCTTCCTTTAGTACATGTTAATACTAAAATTTGCATCATTCGACAGATTTTGAAACCTTAATTTTGGCCTTGAGATTATTTTTAAATAAAGTTTTTAATGGAACTTTCTGATAAGAAAAGCCCATTGAGGGGCAGAATTGTGCTTACTGGTCCATGTTTTGTTTGTTTTGTTTTTTTAATTTTGGAAGGAAATTCGAAGGCCCACCTATTATTTTTCACTCATTATTTTTTGTGTACCTAACCTGTGATCTGCATGTCACTTGGGGCTATTTGGGATGACGAATGGAGTGAGAGCTGTTTGCTGTTGTGGAATAATGGGAGGTTAAGAAGTAAATGATATGTCTCATGTAGAGATGCTGCTGTCTCATTGTTATCTTACTGAGCAGACACAGGTAATCTTACTAGCGTACCTTTTTGCTGGTTCATCTTAACATGTACCCTTATTCTCAGTCTTATGCAGGCAAATTCGTGACGGCCATTGCACACTATATCCACACCCTCAACCCCAGGCTATTGCTGCAGATCAACCTGAAAAGAAATCGCCATTGGAAATGGGTTTTGCGACCCTGAAATGGTATGTGCCTCCTCTTCCTTTCTATTTTGTCCCTTAAGGAGAATAATCCTCCTTCACTTAGATGGAGGTTCCTCTTATTTTAGAGATCAATCCTGATGAAGAGAAATACTGTTGCCCAATTGATGGCTAATAATTTCAATCTTCTAATTTTTACCAAATGTTTTAAGATGTCAACTTACTATATCAGCCGAGGTTAACCGTGAGGACAAGTCTGGGGTTGTGTGTGTATATGTGTGTCTATGGTATGTGTTGGTGTGTGTTGTCTATGCGTGTGTTTGTGCACTGTGTTGGTGCAGTGTGTGTTTGTGTGATGGGTGTGTGTGTGGCATGTGCTATGTATTGTGTGGGTATGTTTGTGTGTGCAGCACATGCATGTTTGCAATGTATGCGTTTGTGCTTTGAGTTGTGTTTGCATTTACACTATGTACTGTGTAGTATGTGGTGGATGTGTGTGTAATTGTCATGCTTGGCTAATTCTAGCATGACACGAGAAATTACAAAGGGTTACTTCACCAAGCAGATGGGCTTCCCTAACCTCTTCCTCGCTTTGTGGCATTTGTGTTTGTCTCTTTTCTCCTCAGTTTGTGCGGGACTATGGGACATTCCTGTACCAAGTGGGCTTGTTATGAAAAGCAGAGAAAAGTATTTCCAGGAGCAGATTGACAAGGGTTTGGCGCACGTCAAGGAGGGAGAGTGGCTCCAAGCCTTTGAAGTGAGTCCTGGGGCCAGTGGCGGGGAGGGCCAAGGAGGAGGGCCTGGAAGCCCCCCAGGGCCCTTCTGTTGCCACAGAAGGTGTCTCTATTGTGCCTGTTGACATGGAGAAGGAGGCTGATAGCGAAGAAAAGAACTGTCTGGGTGTCTTTGAATTTCCTTTGGCTACATTTCAAACCTGAGATCACCTTGGAGTGTTTATCTAGCTGCGTCTTTCATTAACAGTTTTATTTCTTTAGCTGCTCTGTAGACCCTAAAGGCACAGCCTATTATAGGGAAATCAGGAGGAGAGGCAGTGGGGAAAATGGATGCATATGCTTCAACCTCTGCTCTAAACCCTTCAGGAGGGTAACATCCACACACGGGGTTTTAGCTGGGGAAGTGACTGAGTGTGTCACAAATGTCACAGGTTCCTGTGGGTCAGCAACAAAGATTATAAAGTGTAGTCATTTGAAACTTTTGCAAAAAGCCATTGGTATTTATAAATACTGGCACATTGCCCCCCTAATATTGAAATTGAGAATTGAAGAATATAATTATATTCTTCACCTTTTTTTATTATTTAAAAGGTAAGACTATACTAAGTATTAGGGTACAGAAGGTTGGGATTTTTGCTACTCTTGCCAATGCAGACAAAGGTGATGTGTAAGCAGCCTTTCCTGGGGGTGTGGGGGCGCCACCTTCATGCTAGGGCTGTCATGTTTGACACATTAGCAAATGAGGCAGGAGTTGAATTTTGAGCTCTTTAATCTTTTTTGTTATTGAAAGCACATCCTATAACAGTTTATCTAACAGCATTATTGTTGTTAAGACTGACGCCTGATATCGATAGTCTTCTGGGCACTGCATGTCAGCTGGTTCAGATCAAAACAAGAGACACACAAACTTAAGGAGAAGGGGAGTAACATAAATTATGCTCCAGTTTGCAAGTGGGTGCCAGGGCGCTACCTGGAATCCCCCAACGCGGTGGCAGTGACTGCCCTGGCTACGAATTTTGATAGCAGCCAGCTGTGCAGCTGGACTCAGCTCAGGACATCCGGAGCCATCCATCCGCAGGGTGCCAGCTGTCTCCCCTTTCTCTGTGTCAGGCAGGACACCTGCTGTGGCTGCAAAGTGTGGATTCAGAATTTCTTATGCAATTGCGCAGTTGTAAATGTGGAGATCTTACTGGGGACGTGTGAGGTCATTCTTTAACTCACAATGACAGCATTTTCAAGGCTGATTTTAGGCCCTGCACTATGGTAGATAAAAAAAGGGGAAAGGAGCAAGTCATTAGAATTTAGAAATCCTATCAAAATTTACATCATGTTAGACCAATCTGCAAGTAAGACATTTGGTGGGTTTGGCAAAGCATATGGTAATTAAGCAATTTCAAGAACAAGAACAGTTCATAGGCCCGAAGGGATAAAGAAAGCAAAACAATGTTTGTTGTACGTGATGCAGTGACACTGTTGAAAAGTTCGAGTATGTTGTATATTCAGAGATAATGAGATGGCCCATGAGGTTCAATAGGGTCTCTCTTGAACCAGATTCATCAGAAAACAAACAAACAAACAAAACCCCCAAACCCTTGAAGGTATGCAGTGTCTCTCCAACCTCTGGTCCAGTATCTTGAGTGATGAATTACAACATAAAGACCTTTGCTTTTTTCAAAGGAAGTAGATCAAATGGTACTTAAGGGAGTCAGCAAGTCGTGGTCAATGTGTTTCAATGGGTGCAATGGAAACTGTAAGAAATCCAGAAACCCAAGAGCAAAATGGGTTTCAATGTCTCAAGCCTAAATAATGAAGACTGTCTGATGCTCTGATCCCTTAAAGTGATTTAGTTAATTGAAGAATAGTAGCTCAGAGCTGGAGGGAACTTGCAAGATCGTCCTCTTTCCCGACACACATGCGCGCATCAGAAGGTATGCAATCAATTGCCCAAAGCCACCTCACAGGTTGTGGGTGGTCTGGGGCTAGAACTGTCCTTCCTTCCCCAGTTCCCACCCCAGTATTTCTTCTGTGGTAATTTTGAGGCTTTCTGTAAAAGTCCTGGGACATCTTAAAGATTCTGCAAGATGCACACAAACCCATCTCTGGGCCTATATTACCTTTCTCACCCTGACAGGGTTCTGGATCACAGCGTTCTCTTTGTGAACCAAGTTTTGAATCAAAACTGTATTTCACGGGTCTGGACCACCCTCCTTATCTGACAGCCAATGATTTTTGACTCTTCGGAATTAAATCCATTCTTAAAGGTCGAGTTTATGCTCCCCTTGGTGTTGAGGATAATTTTTAAAGATGAATTTCAAAAATGCCACAAGCACTCAGGACTCCTACTAGGCTCTTCTGTCCCCTCTGAGTGGACAAATGAGAAAAGGACACCTCTGGGGTGACACAGTCCTGTTGGTTTAGGATTTGGCAGGCAGATGCCACAATTGTACTAGAGTAAGAAGTGCCCATTTCTTCATACATGGACCTAAGCTGGATTACCCAGTTTAGCAAGAAGAACTTTGGCTGGTTTTCTGCCCCATCTCACCCCTCAGCCAGACGTCCCCATGTTCTGCACTGTCTGCACAGCCAGAGGCAGTGGCCCTGAGCCAAGATTGCGAAGGCATACCCATTACCCACCCCATCCCCCACTTTCCACAGTGATTGTGCTTGTAATGTAATACTTGGTCCCTAAACCTGTAGCAGTAGTACCTTGGATAAATTTAAGTTGCTTCATGTTTGAAAAGCATCATAATCTAATAAGATGATGAAATTTTAAAGTTAAACCCAAAAGCATGGCCAGAAAGAATTACGGAGTGGGAGCCACCATGGTCTGGCCACTGGGAGCTGGTCTGTGTGCGTGGTTGCACACAGGGTCAGGGGCCGAGTTCGACCCTCACCTCTGACATCGTTCAGGAGTTGTCCTTGGCAAGAGACTTGACCTCTGTGTGCCTCAGTTTCCTCACTTGTAAAATTAGGATACTAATATCTTACCTCGTAAGAAGCCTACATTTATACTTGATGGATGATTTTGAAAGTGTTCCAAATTTATCTCTTAAAGTCCTTTTACAAGAGTACCTTATGACTCATCCAAAAACTCCCCATATCCTCAGTCTCTTCTGGTGACTTTCCCTTCCTCTTCTTCCTCTACCCCCACGCCTGTTTCTCCAGCCCTCTCAAGCTGGGGCTGTTTTCCTCCTTCCCTACTTTGTACCACTTGGTTCACAGGTAGAGGAAGTATCCTCCTGACCCCTCATTGCTGCTTCCAGTTCATGTTCCCTCTCCTAAAGCAATGCACTTCAACTCTCATGTCCTTAGTGACACCCCCACCACTTACTCTTAGAGTTACCTATCACCCCCTCGCTCTCTCCTTTTCATTCTTTGAACATATTTGATCACCCCCCCCCCTCACTGTCACTCTCTCTGGCATCACTCTTGTCCTGGGAACTGCAGTATCCACATTCGTGATTCTGTTAGTAATTTGTACCTCACTTCCTGAATCTCCTCCCTTTCAGGGATCTCGTCTCTTCTTTACCTTAGCTGCTCATTCCCATCATCACCACCCAAAGCCAACAACTGCTCCACAATCTCAGATTCAAATATCTTATTCCAACTACCTCCCATCCTCATAGCTCATGTCTGTAAATATACAAACTCAAACAACCATCATGCAGCCATGTTATCTTTTTGTCCATTGATCTTACTACTTCTCTATGATCCCTAACGTTCTCAAGTTCTAATTTCTCTGATTACCCAACTTAAAGTCAAGGTCAGTCATTATACATGGTTCCAAGCCTTTGGCACCTCCTCCAGCTTTTTCTGCTGAATGCACCTCTCAACCATTCCATGCCGTCCCTCAGGAGCTGAACATGCCTGGAAAGAAGCTGACAACCAAGCTGACTGCTCTCATCCTTTGCTGATGACCTGGCAGTTAAAGTTCAGCTCCACACATATGCATGCATATCCATATCCTCTGTCCTCTCTCCTCACACTGTGGCCAAGTGGTCAATGATCCATATCATGGCAACCCTCCCCAACAAGGCTCGCTCTCATAGTGGAAGCCTTGGACTTGCTGTTTCCTCTGCCTGGAATGTGCTTGCCCTAGGTGTCTGCATGGCTTGCTCGCTCCTTCCAATAGGTCTTTGCTCCAGTGCCACTTTGTAAGTGTCCCATAAGTGCATGCATATACACACGCCCATGTGTTCCCATGACACTTTCTCCTTCCCTCCTTTTTTGTTGTCTCCTTAGCACTTATCACTCCTTAACATACTACTTATCTTACCTATTAATGCTAGTTTATTGTCCCCTTCTAGAATATATGTCCACAAGGAAGGACTTTTTGTCTGTCTTTGGTCACTACTATTTCCCCAGTGTCTAGCACAGAGGAGGTGTGTAATAAGTGGTTGTTGAATGGAAGAGTGAAAAAGTGAAATAGTTATTGAAGAAATGAAATGACAAATGCCTGTACATTTTCACTCACCCGGATGTTTTCTTTCTTTCTCCTTTCTTTCCCAACTTAGGTATTGGAAAGACTAATGGATGATGACCATAGTTACTTGGTGAATGTCACAGGGTGTCCTGATCTGTCTAACATTGTTTACTGCATGGTAATGACACTTTAAAAAACCATGATAGTGTTGGCTTAAAACTTTTAGCAAAAGCAAACTTCCTTTGTTTTGGGAAATAGAGTTGACTTTATACTAGACAAATGTGGCCAAACTGTATTGCATTATTTGGTCTTTTAATCTATAGGATTTTTCCCCTTCTGACCATCGAGAATGTGTGATATTCCATATAACTCAAAATAAGCTCTAATTAACACAATTTCCCCCCAAAAGAGCTTGTTTACAGAAATTCCTCTGGGAAGAACAGAAGCTGAGACCGCATTTCTGAGCATCAGGTCCCAGGGTTCCAAGCCTGTAGTGAGTTTCTTGAGAATGCCCACATTACTTGTTCTGTTTTTCAGACAACTTAAATCATCAAAACCACCAAAATCTTTACAAAAATACTGGCTTTGTCTTATTTACACCTTAAGATGTTTCTTTTTTTTTTTAATTTTTAAATTTATTTTATTTTTATTTATTTTATTATTATTTTTTTTTTTATCTTAAGATGTTTCTCACACCTAGTATAGGCCTCACTTTGCACCTACTGGAGTATTTCTCAAAGTATTCAAGTAGCTTCTTTCATAAAAGTAGGCCAGAGTTGATGTCTTTTGTATAGAATTAATCAAATAAGGCAAAGTGAGCCAAAATTGGGGGTTTGGGTTGTGTACTCTTTGTCTAGTGTATAGGACAATACATTCTGTTTAAAATTACCTTATTTATGAACTATTTTGTTAATAAAATTTAAAGCTACTATCAACAGAATTTGCCAGCTGTGTGGTTTTAGAGTTTACCAAGAGAAAAAATATATGCTATCAGAAGAGACAAAATTTTTTATTTTTTTCAAAGTAATAATCCACAGTTAGCAAAAATTATTGCTGATGCATGAAACAGTTGATCTCAAAACTCTGATGAGTTTTTTCATCCTTTTGTAGCTTTTTAAAACATTGAATCCTTTTTATTTTAGTTTAATGAATATTACAGAGACTTGCATGCAGTATTGTTTTAAAAATAAGACTCATGGATAACTTTTCTTTTGTCTCATGTGCCTCAAAAAGTATTACCTGTTTTTATATTCTATCTCCCCCGCCCAAATGATGGTCAGCTGATTATGGGGTATGTGTGGCTTTGATAAACTGAACAAAGAAAAGAAATCATCAGTTGGTCCCCCTGAGCCCTGTGCTCATTAGACCTTCTTTCCATAGACCCTCAGGCAAGGAGCAAATCAGTTCTGATAATCTCACCTCTTCCACTTTCCCTGTATCCACTTCAGGTGGGATTGTTCTTTGGAGTTACAGAATGCAAAAGATTAAGTTCTAAAAGGGGAAAATCCAGCATTTGCTAATTGGGTATTGTCTCCGAGAGTATCAGAGCATCCAGATTTGTTGTTAGTAAAATTTAAATGAACACAAAACCCCAGGTTAAAGTTTTCTGGGTGGAGGCAAGTGAGCAGTTGCATCCTATCTTGGTCATTATAATCTGTGTTGTAAGAAATTTGAAACTTGGACAGCATTGAGCTCTTCATGCTCCCTAATATCTTTCTGATGCCCCTTTCTACCAGGAACCTGAGGCATATAGTTACTTTAAGAAATTTTTGGCCCTCTCAGAAGTGAGGCGAGCCATCCATGTGGGAGATCAGACTTTTCATGATGATGGATCCGAAGCTATGAAGTACTTGGGGGAAGACATGTTGCGTTCAGTTCTCCCACAGTTAGCTGAACTCATGAATAATTATAAGGTAAGAGAGCTATTTGAGTTACTATTTTAGGAACTTTTCAGATTATCCAGAGCAGAGGTGACTTTCTTCTATTTCTTCCAACTTCTATTTTATGTTTACATTTATGGTGCTTTACAAATATAAATAACAATCCACTAATTGTTTGAATGCTTTGAATGAAAAGTTTTGTTGTTTTCCTTTCTAATGAAATCACTTACCCTGGTAGTTCCTGAAATAAAATTCTAGGCATGTGCCACCTCTCACTCTTTCCTGAGGAAAAAAAATCACAGGAGAGATGAGAAGGTGCTGCCTTGTGTAAGCCAATGCCCCTTATTGTTTGGTGTATTACATTAATCCCAGTGAAGTCAGGGATAAATGAAATCGACTGGTTAGTCAAAAAGTGTCTTTTGCTTAATAATTGACTTCATTCATGTTGCTTAAATGCAGTTGTCTTAGTATCTCCATTCAGCCAAACACTGTGCCAGGGTGTCAGGTTGAAGCGAATGCAGAAGGATCCTTGGAGGTGTGTGACGCCTGCCACTGAGTTATTTGGTGGAGCTCTACGTACCGCCTGCTTTGCTGCTGGAGGCAACAGAAGAAAGCAAAGCTGTGGAAAGGAAGCCCTGAGGGTTCGGGCAAAGGACTCCTAGACTCTCAAACTCTAACAAACACGGGGGACACCAAGAGCAAGTGAAGTAGGGAAAGTCATCGTGTGCACTTTTCCCCCACTTCTATTCTCATCTCCTCGGATCCTCCAGGGCTGTTACCCCCGTCCCAGGCGTGGTTTATGGGGCAACTATGCAGGGTAAGTGTGTGTAAATGATAGAGGAGATCACTCCGCGAGACAGTCCACTTTCTATTTCCTGGCAGAGGCAAGAATAATGTTGGGACAAACAAAAACTAGAGCTGCCAGTGGTCAACACACCTTTGCATCAACTAGAAAAAAGCCAGTCTCTCTTCACTATACCTCACTCCCATCTGTCAAAACCTGCCCTCATATACTGCTTTCATTTGATCTAAACTCTTTACTGCCGTTTTCTGATACTCATTTCTACAACATCCAGGTTAAGAGTCGTGTCCTTGGGGGTGCTCACCGCACAACTCTCAGTACCGTCCAGGGCGTTTCTGGACAAATGCACAATCACTAGCCTGTGTTTACTGGTGTCAGACCTAGAAGGTCCATTTTGTGGCCCTGCCTCTAGCATAGAGGTCGCATCTCTAGATGCACAACACTTTTTCAAATAATCTAACATCAGTGGCACGCAGAGTGGAGAGCACAATAGGGAAGTTCCCGAGCACATTTTTTTTGATGCCCTTGGGAGATACATGTTCCCACTGTATATATTGAACTAGAACCTGATTCCTTTCTCAGCCAAGGAGAGTTTATACCATCGGTTCACCTGATATTGGCCAATTGCCATAGAGTGTCCACTGGACTGAGAGAGAATACATTGATTAAAGACATTTAAACATCTCTGTCCATTTCCTATGTATCCTACACCCACCAATATGAATTCCAATGAAATAAGAGTATCTCCTAAACTTTGAAACTCTAACTCAGTTGTCCGGAAAAAAAAAAAGAGAGAGAGAATAGATTAGTGATGCAGATAAACCACATTTCCATAAAGAAAGAAAATAAAGTATTCCGTCGGCCCAAGGGCACATGTCCAAGCGGCTGTTGTGGAGGCAGCGTATTCATTTTCTCTGCTGGCAGAGCCCACAGGGTGGCCATCAGCTTTGGCTGGTCTGCAGTGGTGGTGAACCTCAATGTATATGCAGTGGAATCAGAACAAGGTACGTAGGTTGGCTTAAAACATTAGTTCCCTCAGACTGGTATTTACTTAAGACTCAGTGCTAACTTGTCATAGAAAATAGTGCACATGCTTCTATTCATAGGAACCTGGAGGTCTTTTTCCAGTACTGCATTCATTTTAGCCAACGCAGAGTATCCCTGATGGACCGAGGAGGATGCTCCTCAGTTTCTGGGAACTAATAGAACTCCTTCATTATATCAGTCTCTGGGTGGACTGCATGGAAACATTGTCCTTTTCTTGTAACGACCTATAGGGATGCGTACTCAAACTCATTTTCTACTCAGTAATTTCAGATGTGTGTGGGGTAAATTGAAATACCAGATTAGCAATTTCCAAAGTAGCTAGAATGAGAAATAATCTGTTGGGCTATTGGAAGGCTTCATGATTCAGTCAGGTCACAATGGTATCAGGATTTTTAGGATTCATCCAGGTAACTACCATTCTTCACAGCTTGATCTATACTATACATTCAATGTAATTGTAATTAAAATTGTAGTGAGTTACTTTTATGGATATTGACAAAATCATTTTAAAGTTTCTTTGGAGAGGCAAGAAACTCAGAACAGCCAACTCAATACTGAAAGAGAAGAGCAAGTCAGAGAAATGGCACTGCTGCACTTGAAGACTTGCTAGGGAACTACAGTCATCGGGACAGAACAGCACTGGCTGGAGAACAGACCAACAGACTAAAAGAACAGGCCTGTTTACTTGTGTGTTACGTGATTTTTGATTATGAACGTCTCACAGAACAGACCTGGGGAGCAGAGGTGAATGATATACTATTACCGAATGGACCCACCCTTGTGCTCCAGGGCAACCCCCTCCCCGTACTAGGTTCGCCTTGCCCGCCACCAGGGAAAGACATTTCTCAGTGCCAGAGATTGGTGAAAAGGAAAGGCATTACTTATTTAAAAAGTTATGTAGACTGAGAGTAATGACTGAATGTCTTCATTAAAAATACTGAAGTCCTTTAGAATGCCCACAAATGCACAGTCCTTCCTTCTCCCTCTGCCCAGTCCAGGGTACCTTATCTCAGGAAAAGAAGTGGAAGTCCATGGTTCAGGCAGACGCTCAGTTCCAGCACCATCAGCTGCGTCACCACCATGATCTCCAGTTAATCCAAAACCGTGGGGCACCTTTTCATGGCCCACCAGCAAGAATCCTTTCCCCCTTTTCTTCCAGGCAAAATCTCTCCTGCTTCCTAAGCCGTGTGGGAAAAGGGAGCACCTTAAAGCTGCATGGTCACAACTTTCACCAAAGCCGAGTGGTCCCCAAAAAAGCTACGCATAGCTGCAGCACCTGGATTTAAATCCCACCTCCAGTCTTCCTCTGCCACACCATTTCTAACTCCTCCCACAATCAGTTACACCTGCCAGCATTCCCATATTCTTCCAGCTTTACTGGGCTGCCATAGTACGTCCGAGCAGGCGTAGCCCAGTGGTGTGGAGCCAATCATCTCCAAGCTCTCACACAGGTGCTGTAACCAGAAGGAGTTGCCTCCCCCTAATATCATGGGTTGAAGTCACTCCCATCCCCCTGGCTCAAAGCACGGCCACAGCTGTTTAACATATCTATGAAACCAGTTAAAGGTTATAGTTATGTTAAATGACCGTTCTAGAGGTTACCTGCAAAACTGTTGCTATTCAAAACTACTCTAAATGGCCCTGCTCCATGAGTCCCATCTCCCAGCTCAGACTTGTGGGGGTGAGGACATCCTATATGTATATATTTTTCTAATATTTTCTGAACAGCCTGAATTCCGGACCCAATTACAAATCCCTATTTGGGGACCCTCTTGGCTGCATCCTGTTACAAACTTACATTTTTGTTGAATTTAGCAATGAAAAATCTGAGAAAGTCAAACACCTGTAGGCATTGTTTATTCGCCTCCATTGTATGCTAGAATTCATTACCAGCCTGGAACCGATTGAGCCCCTCCCTACACATGTCCTAGGTCTGGTGCTGGGCTTTGGCCTCTTTGCATTAGAAGCACCTGGAAAGCTTGCAAACAATACTTGATCACTGCCCCTCCACCAGATTTCTGATTTAGTGCAGCAACTATCCTGGCATAGCAACAATCACGTAGTAGTGTGCAAGGAACTGGGAAGAAAGGAAGGGAAGGACGGATGAGGGAAGGAGGAAAGGCGGAATGCAGGGAGAGAAAAAAGCACAAAGTGCTAGAAAGACAGATGGTCTGTTATTTATTCCATAAGCTGTCTTTATAATAAGCTCATATTTAATTTTACTAACTGCAAGTGATTTGCCACACTAATTACATTGATTACGTATGTTTTGAGCACAATCTACCTTCAAACAAACAAACAAAAAAACCCTTGTAAAATGATGGCAGTGCTCACCATGCAAAGCATGGTATTCCTTCCTCTTTCAAGCAGCTTTTTTTTTTAATTTAAAAAAAATTAAAGATTTTATTTATTTATCTTTAGAGGGGAAGGGAAGGAGAGAAATATCAATGTATGGTTGCCTCTCCTGCATCCCCTGCTGGGAACTGGCCTGCAACCCAGGCATGTGCCCTGACTGGGAATCGAACTGCTATCCTCTGATTCATAGGCCTGCACTCAATCCACTGAGCAACACCAGCCAGGGTCAAGCAGCGATTCTTTAAAAAACAAAAACAAAGCCACTCTTATACACTGATTGTAAGGTGTATCCTGATTTTAACACTGACAAAATGTTACATGGGATGGACAGGGCATCTCTAAAATCTAAGAAATGCAAGTCATACTCCATGAGAGCTGTTGGCTTTGAAAACTCTGCTCTTCGTAAAGGTCCCCTGGGCTTTAGTACTTTCTGATAGAGAGGTTACATTGTTCTTGCAAAGGCTCTTGCTAAAGACTCAGAATAGGTTTTTAACTTCTTTCTTTGTCTGGTTATAGTTCTTGCCTTTCTAAAAATATATGCACTATATTTTCAAAGACATGAGAATGTGCATGTGCGTGAGTGTGTGAGCACTTCCTGTGTGAAACCTTCGTTTTAACAAACAGGAGCCACAGCCCTATAACATAAAGGTCATTTGTATTCAAAGTAAAAAAAATGGCCATGGATTTGAGGCCATCTCTGTTACGAAGTTGTCTAGAAGACCACCATAATTTTAAGAGGCACCATCTCCAAATGCCAGTTCTCAACTTCCACATTATTAGACTTTGAAAGGTTAAGTTGCCCTGGGGCAGGGCTTAGTTTGCTGTGTTT